TTATTATTACCTGATATTTAGGCTGTCTTGATACGTGCCTGTTTCTGCATAAGGCTGGGGATAGCATTGATTACTGTGCCACTGATGCCATGGATGAAGCTTGTAAGGGTCTGGTTCTTTGTTCTGAGATCATCTCCAGATCTGCGGTTGCCATCCTCAGCCATGGCTCTGCCACCAAGGGAATTCGCTCCACTGCACTATTCAGGCAATGAAATAGTCCCTCAGAAAAAGTTGTTGACTGTCACACATCTTCAGAAATTCGTTGCTCTGAAAGGGAAGATGAAAAGCTGAAGTGTTGGAAGGAGTTACCTATCTGAGCTGCCTGTACTACGTTAAGCGTCTGGTTCGGTAGCATGCAGAACACTGGCTCTGTATACCAATGAGCTGCAACTCTATTCTTTATGCCCTGTTGTATAGTTAGGACCCGTCGAAGAAGATCAGAAGCTGGTTTCTATTGCCTTTGACACAGGTGTAAGTCAGGAGCAGTTCTGCTGGAATTACTATGATATGAGAAGAGAGTGCAAAATACCTGTTACATGGAAGGAGGGTGGCTGCTACTGTACCACAGATTTCAAGGAGTTATGATCCAGTCTAACCAACACCACAACATTGTTCACAGTGTTTCATCTCTGAAGTAACTCTCCCAAGATCAGTTGAGATAATGAAACTGAGAGCGTTTCTCATTCCCATCAGCTGAAATTTGTCATGGAAGTGAAAGTCTTGGCCAGCAAGCCAAGTTACGTTCTCAGTGCGTTAAAAATGAGGAGGTTTCGCTCAGCATTTGTTGTTGAGATTATCTGATGAGTTTTCCTTTCACTAATGCTGTGTGATTTTGAAGCAGTAGTTTTGCTTTGTAAGTCCAGCAGTACAAAGTTTTAATTGACTGTATGAGATCTGGGATGGAATGACAAACCTCTCATCCCTGATTGTTGATTCAAACACAGTGTAGCAATATGTTGGAAGTCCAATGGTGAATGACTTCCTGCAGTGGCTTAGTGATTCAGTCCAAAGCATAGGAGTGGCTATCCTACCATTAACTACCACCACTTTATTGCCTAAGCAGTAAAGATGCTTTTAGAGCCCACAGACCTAGCTAGAGCTTTCCCATTAGCTTCAGCCTCTGAAGGATCCAAACCTAAAGTGTCTGTGTTTAATCTCTGCTGAAAATCAGGTGAGCCTCTTCTTTTGTCTCCTGTGAGTAAAGTGAAAGCTTCTTTGTTCCAGGAAAGTAACATTTCAGAAAAGCCTAACCGAGCTGGTTGCTTGAGTGGAGCGAGGAAGGGCAGCTGTGTAACCTGTAGGAAAGCAGTCTATTTCAGAAGTGAGTCTCAAATTCTCATTTATTTCTTCATTCATTCCTGTTAGCTTTTGAGTGAGGACAAGGGTTAGATAGCAAATACATTCAGGAAGCAGGATGTCCTGATTTTGGCTGGGATAGAGTTAATTTTCTTCATAGAAGCTAGCATAGTGTGGTGTTTTGGATTTAGTACTGCAAGAATGTTGGTAACACACTGATGTTTTTAGTTGTTGCTGGGCAGTGCTCAGACTACTCAAGGACTTTTTGAGCTTCTCCTGCTCGGCGAGGTGCATAACAAGCTGGGAGGGAGCACAGCCAGGACAGCTAACCCAAACTGACCCAAGAGCTATTCCATACCATATAACATCATGCTCGGGGGGGTTAGTTGGTCGGTTGAGGGCAGAGTGATCGCAGCTCGGGCAGGGGGATTGC